AGAAAATCGGGGCAGAAAAAGCCGAACCTCGAGGTCCACGCCCTCTCCCTCGCACCGCCCGCCACTTAACCGAACTCTCCCCAGCCCTTGACGAGTTTTACGTGGCAAACACAATCAGACAGATAGTGTCTACCTGTTAATGCTTGCTTTCGACAAGAATGAAGGATATTCGTTGGCGACTGCCCCGACTCGTGCAATTACACCATCGTGGGCGTGCCTTTGGGGAGCCTTCCCAGCTTGACAGTGCTGCAGCGCGCGAGGACTTGAGAACTCGCAGCATCCTTGTCCTTTAACCTCTTTCGTCTGCTAAATATTTGACATCGTCTTTTTTTCTTATTTTTCGTTTGAGGTAGTTACTCATCTTAATAACTATGTGAGACCATCGCCGCGGACAAAGTTAGAAGAAAGATGAGCTTTCTTCGTAGTTGCAGTGGTGGTTATCATGGCATAATTAGAATTGCATGTTTTCTTCGATGTTTTACAATGATTTGACATGTTTCTTAGGACAGCACACTCTTATTTCAGGGACACCATGTGGGAACTAAACATTCGAGTGATCTCATCTAAGGAAATGCATGATAGCCACTATTACTCATGAACAAAGCACATGTTTCCACCTAACTTTACCCGGGATGATGAATCACGATTTTTAGGAAATGTGCCAAGGTATCGTCGATTCGTTGACCGCACGGACTGGAAACCGCCGCGGAGCACGCGCCGCGTGGTAAAACGCTTGCCCCAGTACAAATTCGCCATAGTACAAACCGTGCTCTCGCAACATTTTAGCCGCGCCGCGCGTGGTCCGTAGCGCTGGAGCAGTCCGTACGGTCAATGAATCGACGATAGTTTTTTCCTTACCTTTCGTATTCATTAAAATAGAACGTAGGATATTTGATCATCGAGAGAAAATAAGAGAGAGGGAAAACGAAACACTGCCTAAAATATAAAAAACTAAGAAGAAAAAACGATATGAAATGCTCAAATTAAGAAAAAGAGATAAAAGGACAGTGTTGCTGCCAGGTAACGAGTCCCAGCGCGGTGCATGTACTGTCCAGCTGGAAAGGCTCCAAAAAGGCGCGCCCACACTGGTGCAATTGTACGAGTCGGGGCAGTCGTCGACGAATATCCTTTACCGTTAAGAACACTCCCCCACCGTCCTTACAAAATTGTCTCAAAAATGGAGTTTTTTGAGGAATTCGCGCATTTTGGGTGCTACGGTTGGAATCAGCCCCATGAAAAGGCCTGGACAAGGCAAAAAAATAGAAGTTGAGATTCTCCCTGGACGCTGCCTTCAAAAGACCATCCTGCAGAGCGAGGTTTATTTAGATTTACAGTATGGAGCGAATTTCCGTTCTTTCTTCGTTACTGTAGGGTTATATTAGGTACTTCGAAAAGGTTAGACCATTGAAAGCGATTTTTGATTCAAAAAGAAAACCAAACAAGCCAGGAACTCTTGTACTGGACCAATGGGTTGTTTCATACTGCCGCACTGACTGCAACAGACTGCAGCTGACTGCACTGACCGCAGCAGACTGCAGCAGACTGCAGCTGATCGCACGGACCGCAACGGCCGCACAATCGCTGCATCCTTTCGTAAAAGAGAAAATAGTTGCGAATACATCAAAACACCGTGATTTATGCCTAGAAAGTTCATAGGTTTCTAATTCTTTAATATGCTCATATTTAATCGGATTCCTTTTGTCACTGCATCTACCTATTTTACTCCAGCTCGTGTTGTCTACTGAGGCATATATTGTTAAGAGACTGTTTGAACTACAACTATTTATCCTCTCTAACTTCACGAAAGGATGTAGCGATCTGTGCGGCCTTGCGGTCAAAGCGGTCAGCTGCAGTCTGCCGCAGTCCGTTGCAGTCATGCGGTCAGTGTGGTCAGCTGCAGTCTGCTGCAGTCTGCTGCGGTCAGTGCGGCAGTCTGAAACAACTCAATCGAAGTCGCATATCTTCTTATATATAAAGCTGAATGTCTGTCTGTCTGTCTGTCTGTACGTATGTGCGGAATAGAAATTTTTATTTCTGAACCGATTTGGACCAAACTTGGCACACATATACTTCGGGGCAGGGAGCGTGTCATAGGCTACTTTTCGTTATCGATCGATATCGATTTTATCGTACACGGGTCTAGCTGGATGGCCCGGCGGAGCCGGGCAAGCCAGCTAGTTCTAAATAAGAATTTTGCACTTCACTGTAATGCTTCATTCATAAGTTATTTCAGGAGGGTAACATCTGTTCTTCCAGTATTCGTCAGAAGTGCGGCTACGCCATTGAAAAAGCTCAAAAAACTGGTGAAAAGTTGTGTAGTGAAATCAGCACACCTGAAGACCTTGCTAAACAAATTTCCAGATTTTTTGGAATATTTTTTCCATCACGGCTAAGGAAATTTCTATCTATCCTATTCCACGCTGACGCTGTATGCTGAAAGTTCACAACGTAATTCTAAAGTGATGAGCGATTGGTGATCCGCTCCATTTTGTAGATCTAAGTTGAACCTCGCTCTACAAAAGAGTACATCGAGCTCGGCAAAAGACATGAAAGCAGGAGAGTTATTAACGATCAAACAGCGTGCAAATCCTTTTGGGACACCCTGTATGATATAAATAAACACACGGCTAAGGGAAAGTCAGAATAGCAACGACTCTTCATTCCTCGTAACTCCCTTTGTGCCAGAAGAAGCTACCACATTTGCGACCTACGCATGGTTAGTCTGTGGACATCTGGCAAATCCTAAGTAGTCGGATGTAGCGTGACGGAATCCGGGAAGTATCGTCCCTTTCACAGTTGCTGCTACCCTTGATCTGCGCCTCCGACTTGCGCCGTGGCCAATATGTTGGCAACATGCAACAACCAGTTGACGCCTGAGGCTGATAGGCAAGAAGTTCTGCCAACATGTTGTTGCACGTTGTCAACATGCTAGGCATACGTGCCGCAGATCAGAGATGCACAGGGTAACAGCAACCGTGAAAGGACGACCGGTAACGACACGGCGCTGAAACGGCTCCATGTCAGGAGTCACGCCGCACGCCGCGCCGCTTCGCCTCGCACGCCGCGTCTAAATTTTGTACCCCATAAAACTGCCCGGTGCTAAAGTGGCACAGCGCCAGTCTAGGGGGGTGGGGGGTGGGGGCAGATACATGGCTTGTGCCATAAGTAAGATTGCGTCAGGAGTGCTGGCTTCTGTTTTGCTGACATCGCTTGCGGCATCGCTTCGCGAAAAATTCGCGCCGACCGTGACTCCTGACCGTTCCCCCGCTGAAACGGCTGGATTTGCCATGGAGCGCGGATTGTGATTAGAGCGGATTTCCCCACCTGACTTCATTTTCGGCAAATAAGATTCGGACCAAACCATGCTCACAGCATGGTTTGGTCCGAATCTTTGAGGGAGGGGGAGGGGGGGGGGGGGTGTTAGCCTACTTGTTGTTATCGCTCGATAACTTTTTTGATTTTTGAGTTTGAGCCACGGGTGGAGTTGGTGCAGATGGATAAGTATATGTGCTGAACACGAAAACATAATGGGGAAGGGAATCTAACATACGGAAGTGGGACAGGGACAGAGGAATCTTGTTTAGTGATGGAATATTGACTTCACTATAGCGTATCGAAGGAAAGGGTAGAGTCAAGCATGTCGGCCAGAGATGCAAAGAGTTCTACATTTTCTGGGAAGGGATAAACTCAATGAAACTCTACTTGATCTTTAGATCAAAAGTAATGAAGAAATTCTGACGAGTCCAACAAAAAAGACTCGACCCAAGTTGAAAGTCCGTAGTGAAAAGTGTTACTGCAATGAGACTCACGCATCGTTTGTGCCCGAAGGGGGTTCTCAGTACCATCTACGTGGCTGGGTTTCGATCGTTTCAACGTGTCAGTATCGAATAAGCGCCTTAAATTTCCTGTAGTTAACGTGTCAAAACGATCGAAAGGCAGCCACGTTGACGGTACTTACGAGAACCTCTCTGATGCACAAACTATATAGTGAACAAGTCAGCGTACTTGAAAGCAATATTGGATTACACGACAACATGTGCAAGAACAAGAGTGCCATTAGGAGAACTAATTTCAGTCTATCTTTTCTCCTATCTTGCAACCTTATTTTGATCGAGTACCCAGGGATTACTGTCTTGCTAATCATAACGACCACATCTCATGCACCACTTCCGCATAATCGCTCTTTTGTTCTGCTTCTTCACTTTCGCCTAGTTGTTGCAAACTATGGAAGAGATGTTGATTATGTTATACGTTCCAAATATCAATACCTATATTTGCTTCACCTTTCTGCAACAACCAATTCCCGTTTCTGTAGTCAGTATGTGCATCTAGCCTCAGTTGGGAGGACCTGCCACTGCGGAAATTACCGCAAAATAAGTACTTATATGTGCACTCAACCGGAGCGGACTCTTATAAGTGAACATGCGAAAAAGAAGCACTTGAGTCAGAAAGAAACGCAAAATCTTCGAATAATCTTTTATCAAACCCGAAAAAATTAAGTTCCATGCCAATAACGCGCTCCGCTCGACAGCCGCGCTCCACGGCGAATCCAGCCGTTTCAGCGCCGTGTGGTTACCGGCCGTCCCGTGAAAGGAACGATAAACCCTAGGCCAGGGCAACCCAGTCTGCGAAACTCAATCCCGCAAAGCTAGCGCCAGTTTTTGCGAGAGTCATATATGACCCAATCCACCACCCTTGTTTTTGCCGCGAAATAGGCCCTGGGCGAAGCTTTTGTTTGTTTATAAATTGCCAAGAACTCGGTATGTCGCCTAAGGCCCCAGGCAAACTTCACGCGATTTGATCGTCGCGACTGAATCGCGACGAGACAACTGTTACAACATTATTCCATGCCGATCAACTTGCATTTCGGTTGTGATACTTTTCCAGCCCGAAATTTTTGAATGTGAAATGAAAATGAATGGAAATGTCGGCGATTGAGTCGCGACGATCAAATCGCGTGAAGTCTATCCGGGGCCTAAACGCTCCCACACTCTTTGACTACGAGGGCATGCCAAACTGTGGAAGCCACTCGCGAGCGGCTGCAGTCTGCACAATAGATTTGACGACTATGACTAAATATCTACTTTCTGCTTGAGTACCGTGTCAATGAGTTCAGTCGGTTCGATGCTACGCAAGGTGGAGTCGAAGAATCTGGACCCCAAGGTATGTTGTGAAGTTTTGCTTTCACTGGAAATCGGATGGTAGAGGAACGAATGAGTCATCTACAAATCGACTCTGTGGTGTGTGACAAAGCAGAAACTCAAACCATAAAAAAATGGCTAGTACTCATACGTTTGATGAGACACAGATCTGAGAATGGGTCCACGTTAGTTTGTGCGATTCACGAATTTGGTATCAGTGAGTAATCAGGGCAAGAAAACGTGCCTTTAGTTCTGAACCAGCGAAAATGAGACAACAGTTTAGCCTTAAGCAGTGTTCACGCGATTTCGTCGTCGCGATTCATCGCGACAAGACAAGTGTTGCGAGTTCATTGCTAGTTAGTTACGATTATTCGTGTTGGAAAAACTACCACAACCGAAATGCAAGAAGATCGGCACGCAAAGACATTGTTACAGTTGTCTTGTCGCGATCAATCGCGACGATGAAATCGCGTGAACTCTGACCGAGGCTTTAGGCAGACCTCCACAACCTGTATACCCGACAAGTTCTGCTGCATAAAGTTTGACAGTGTTTTGATAAGGAGGTGCCAAACTTTCTGGTTTAAAAGTTTCCTTTATTTCAGCCCATTCGCTATTGGTCAACTCACTAATTTGACCAATAGCGAATGAGTGAACCAAACGAACCAGTTGGACTGTATAAGTCTGGCACCTGTCTAACATGAAAAAGCTTCATTGACTGACGTTTATGCTCATAACGATTTCGCAACATTTCCGTTCAGCGCAGTTGGTTTCTAATCCTATATATCCCACTTTTTAGAAATCGACCAGAGGTTGCCGGCAACTGCTGCCAATTTTACCAGAATGGCCGAAATTGCTGCATGCGTTGCCGGTCGTTGTGGGCCTCATAGTACACTCTGCGTATTATGCCTCTGTATCAACCCGGCAATCTTCTCCTTCGCTGATTGTAGGATATGTCGACGGAAGGAAGTGGTCCTACGCGGACAGCTGCGACAGAGCACGCAACTTCACGTACTACAGACAGAACCGTACCAGCTGTCCGCCTAGTTGAAGCCCATCGGCGACATGTAATCCCCTACCCAACCTCACTCGGCAACGCCGGCAACCCTGGTAGCTCTGACATCCGTTGTCGCCAGTTGCGGATCTCTTAACAGTCACAGGAATGATGGCAATCGGCATCTATAGGAAACATAGCATGCGGTTCGGGCACGAAAGAGACAGCAGACAGCAAGAGGAATGACAGGCGCACCTTCAAAGAGACGCCGACAAGTCTGTAGTGACGCCCACTCTGTGCGCACGTGAATCGTTTATACTATAATAGTTGCAATATATCATTCTTTTGTTATATCAAAACAGCTTTCTTCAAGATATGAAGTAGGGCCAGAGTCTTTTCAAAATAGCGCTAGAGCCCCGTCTTTCGCGGGGGTGCGGCATGAGCGTTCAAATCTGCAACATTCGATCGTACAGCGCTGCGCAATGCCCATGCGCTGCGGATGCGTAGTTGCTAGGGAGAGAGGAGTGCGTGCTTGACACAGATACTGATGCTGCGACGAAAAAGTCCGACCAGGGACAGATGTGCAGATGGCAACCCGGGTGTGTTTCCTTACCGCAACTACAATCGGGCATAGTTCTGATATTTTACTACTGCTTTTTCGACCGTGGATGCGGTTGTGCTGAGTGCTTATTATACAGGGTGTCCGTAAAGTATGTATACACTGTTTGATCGTTAATATCTCTTTTCACAAGAAGTCTTTTGCCTTGCTTTGGGTACCAGTAGAGCTGGCTTCAACTTAGATTTACAGTATAGAGTGAATCGTCCATCTTTCTCCTTCACTGTAGGATTAGGGTAGAAGTTGAAAGAGGGTTTTGGGCCATAAAAGGCCATATTTTGCCTCATAAGGGAGACAAAACAGCCTGAAAACTTTTACACTAGGCTAATTAGAGTTGCGATTCTAATTGTAAAGTTCCCAACTTATTGTGATGCTTCATTGAAGAGTTATGCCAGGTAAGAGGTAGCGGCCATTCTTTCAATGTTCCTAAAAAGTGAGGTAACACCGTTTAGAAAACTTCGCAATCTTGTGAATAGTTGAGTACTGAACTCAGCGTCCTTAAAAACCCTATTACACAAGTTTTCACATTTCTTTGAAAAATTTTGAAACGGTAGCTTTTTCCACATTGACACCATATGTTTCAAGTTTCTACCGTAATCCTACAGTAATGAAGAGAGATGGGTGATTCGTTCTATACTGCAAATCTAAGTTGAAGCCAGCTCTACGAAATGGTAGGTGAAGCAAGGCAAAAGGCTTCTTGGGAAAAGAGATAATAACGATCAAACAGTGTATACATACAGTCGAGTAGATTTAGCGGTAAATATAGTGTGCTTGCACAGAAGGTGAAATGCGGTAAAATTTGCGCGTGAAAAAATAGCTTCGACTGTGACGCCGGCCAATTGCGCGCGCGCGATGCCCGCCGTACTGGCGTGGCTACTTGTTCACGCGCAAATTTCACCGCATTTCACCTTCTGTGTAAGCACACTATATTTACCGCTAAACCTATTCGACTGTACTTTACGGACACCCTGTATAACAATGTGCGCTCAACCGCTGCAGGGAGCAGATGTTTATAGGCTGTTACAGTGACAGTGTCGCTTGCATCAGCGGCTCGAATTTCGGCCGCCTCGCTCCGAGATTGTCGCGCCTGCTTGTGAAGTATTCTCTAGCATTTTCCCGCACCTTCTCGCTCTCTGAAGAGGGAAATGGAAAATTCTCATAGGGATATGTCTGCAGACGCAGCGCAAGCTCGAAGCGAGGCGGCCGCGCAAATGCGAACCGCTGGTACAAAGGACGGTGTCATTCAGACAGTCTGTACCAGTGTAAGAGCAGATTTCCGGCTTGGTTTGTGTCGATAAAGTTATTTGTAGAGTTATTTCCAGCATGTAACTTTTGCCTGTCCGTCTTCTGTGAGTATGTGTAAACAACATGGAAAGAAAAGTAAGGTGAGATGCTTTAGTGATTAGTGCGTTTCGAATTTTGCAATTTGCGGGACTCATCAACTCATTCATTTATAGATGAAATACTGCTCTTAGTTGGTATAGCCAATATTTTGAAAGATGCGCTCTGCCCATAATAGAAATTGCTTTTTTAGTCCGACCAACGTAAACGTCAGACACATCAACAAAGTGGAAAGGAGAAGAAGACCAAGTATTCGGAGCAAAGTGCTCAGCTTCTTCAGGTGTGCCATGTCTATTATCCTTACCTTTTGCTTTGTTGTCGTTCTTTAACTTTGTTAATTCTCACGTTGAAAGTTGAAGACTACTCGAGTCATATGTACTGCTTGATACCGTTGTCGGTATAAACGGAACATATGTAGTGGAGTCATTTGTGATCAAGGATTGAGTTTGCTACCATGCGCGCCACCTCCACGACCAGGGGCGGTATTTATCAACCTCCCACTCGCGATTCGGGCCATTGCTAAAGAGAGTGGACAGGCGAGAGCGCCAACCTCTGATTTATCAAAAGGTCCGATCTGGCAAGTTTGGCCATGTCGGGCACGGTAGTCAGGCAGCAGAGCCCCATCTCGACGGGTCGGGCTCCGATGCCCGACTGCCGTGCCCAACATGGCCAAAGTTGTCAGATCGGACCATATGCTTCAATAGCAGGAGCCCGGTCACCAGTTTAATTTCATATATCGCGGGCGCCAGTGCCCGCACCTGTAAGGGCTGTTACCTGTACAGGAACCCTTTCATTTATAGGAGACTAGCTGGCTTACCCGGCTCCGCCGTATCCGGACCAAACTTGGCACACATACACTTCGGGCCCCGGCGGGTGTCACAGTCCACTTTTCGTTATCGATCGATGTCGATTTTACCGATTTTTATTGATTTTTTTGCAGAATTCACCTACAGGGCTAGGAGTTGGCACAGGGGGGGAAGTGAGCATGGGGATTCCGAATACAATATTAGTTTCCAGAATTATCGATTACTTTTATTGATCTTATCGATTTTTTGTAAATTTTGACATGCGAGGCTGGGATTTTGCACAGGGGGTAATCGAGCATGCTGATTACGAACACAATATTAGTTTTCAGGATCGTCCATTACTTTTATCGGTTTTATCGATTTTTTGTAAAGTTTGACCTGCGGGGCTGGGAGTTTGCACAGGGGGGTAATCGAGCATGCAGATTACGAATACAATATTAGTTTTCAAGATCATCCATTACTTTTATCGATTTTATCGATTTTTTGAAAATTCGAGCTAGGGGGCTGGAATTTGGCACAGGGGTGTAATAGCATGCTGATCACCCCCCTTGGGGATGATCACCATGCTCGATTACCCCCCTGTGCCAACTCCCAGCCCCCTAGCTCAAACTTTGCAAAAAAATCGATAAAATCGATAAAAGTAATCGATAATCCTGAAAACCAATATTGTATTCGGAATCCCCATGCTCGATTACCCCCCTATGCGAACTCCCAGCCCCGTAGCTCGAACTTCGCAAAAAAATCGATAAAATCGATAAAAGTAATCGATAATCCTGAAAACCAATATTGTATTCGGAATCCCCATGCTCGATTACCCCCCTGTGCCAACTCCCAGCCCCGTAGGTGAACTCAGCAAAAAATCGATAAAAATCGATAAAATCGATATCGATCGATGACGAAAAGTAGCCTATGACACCCGCCGAGGCCCGTAGTGTATGTGTGCCAAGTTTGGTCTGGATCGGTTCAGAAATGGAATTTTCTATTCGGAACATACGTACAGACAGACATACAGACAGACATACATACATACATACAAACAGACATTCAGCTTTATATATAAGATTGATAAATACCTCCCCAGGGTTGTACAGTCTGGCCCAATCGGGATCAGGCCGAACCGTTTGCTAAATTTGCGCGCACCCATCGTCTACTTGTGCTTTGCCTGCATATGCGCACTGTCGGAGAGAGCGAAGAAATTGAAGAGAGAGAGTAGACAAGCATGCCGTAGACGTGACGCAAAACTTTAGCAACGCGGACTCCCGCCATACCAGTTTTGGCTCGATTGGATTTGGGGCAGACGTAGTCGGAATTACTGTCAACGTTTATTTACACCTGGGTACCTACTGATGCTGTTTGAGAAGAGAGGAACCCATACTCTAGAAATCGCAAATAATTACACAAGCCGTGGGATGCTACAGGTTAATCCTCAGCGCAGTCTTATCTGTAGGAACATAAGATTGGGCTGACGATTATTCGGTTAGATAAAAAAATGAAAAACATTTGTAACGTAGCAGAATTTTATGGGTAGACATCTTGTTCCTTATCTGTGGAAATGCTTGTGGAGTCTTTTTGTAATCCGAACCACTTTTATGCCATGGAGATCACGACTGGTGTGGATTTTTGGTACAGGATCGACCCTGTGCAAATAGTCTGTTAGATGAGCGGGGGACGGGTACGGGTACGGGCGCGGGTAACCCAAAACCCAGCGGTGTAGACTGCCAAATCCTCTGTCTCTTCAAGTAATCAAGACTGAGGCTCAATCTACTGAAATGAAGTCAGCGTCAGTCAAATCTGACCACATGGAGTTTCGACATGAAAACACCGTCCACGTTGCAGCGCAAATGATTCATCCGCGGCTAAAAAATCATTTCCAAACTTGTCTCTTATATCGTATCCAGCAAACGACTTACAACATGCATGCCTTCGCGCGGTAGCTATTTACCCTTGGGATGGGTGCGAACGAAAAAGCATGCGAGATGTTAGGTATCCCCAGGGGCCGTATTCATCAAGCAGCCTCGAGGGTGAACCCTACAAGGGTAACGTTTCCTCGGGGTTGTTGGCTGTACTCATCAACCAAAACTTAAACCTCCTCTGTGCAAGTAAGCTATTTTCCACCGTAGAATGAGATAGGCTTTGTTTTCAGATGGAATGTAATCGAACTTGCGTGCTGTTCGCGTTGATAGGTAAATATGGTCATATTTCAGCAGATATTAACCCATTGACGACGATGTGGACCACCGGTGGCCCACACCTCTCGCAAAGTCGTACTATTTGCAGGTCTAATATTTTTTCCACATATGATAATTTTTTCCAATTTTTTGTATTCTTAGGACCTATAGGCTCTCTCGTTCAAGAAAATGTTGATAGCTGTTTACAAAACAACTAGCTGGCTTACCCGGCTCCGCCGTATCCGGACCAAACTTGGCACACATACACTTCGGGCCCCGGCGGGTGTCACAGTCCACTTTTCGTTATCGATCGATGTCGATTTTACCGATTTTTATCGTTTCTTTTGCAGAGTTCACCTACAGGGCTAGGAGTTGGCACAGGGGGGGAAGTGAGCATGGGGATTCCGAATGCAATATTAGTTTTCAGAATTATCGATTACTTTTATTGATTTTATCGATTTTTTGTAAATTTTGACATGCGAGGCTGGGATTTTGCACAGGGAGGTAATCGAGCATGCTGATTACGAACACAATATTAGTTTTCAGGATCGTCCATTACTTTTATCGATTTTATCGATTTTTTTTGTAAAGTTTGACCTGCGGGGCTGGGAGTTTGCACAGGGGGGTAATCGAGCATGCAGATTACGAATACAATATTAGTTTTCAAGATCGTCCATTACTTTTATCGATTTTATCGATTTTTTGAAAATTTGAGCTAGGGGGCTGGAATTTGGCACAGGGGTGTAATCGAGCATGCTGATCACCCCCCTTGGGGATGATCAGCATGCTCGATTACCCCCCTGTGCCAACTCCCAGCCCCCTAGCTCAAACTTTGCAAAAAAATCGATAAAATCGATAAAAGTAATCGATAATCCTGAAAACCAATATTGTATTCGGAATCCCCATGCTCGATTACCCCCCTGTGCCAACTCCCAGCCCCGTAGCTCAAACTTTGCAAAAAAATCGATAAAATCGATAAAAGTAATCGATAATCCTGAAAACCAATATTGTATTCGGAATCCCCATGCTCGATTACCCCCCTGTGCCAACTCCCAGCCCCGTAGGTGAACTCAGCAAAAAAAATCGATAAAAATCGATAAAATCGATATCGATCGATGACGAAAAGTAGCCTATGACACGCGCCGGGGCCCGAAATGTATGTATGCCAAGTTTGGTCCGGATCGGTTCAGAAATGGAATTTTCTATTCGGAACATACGTACACACAGACAGACAGACAGACAGACAGACAAACAGACATTCAGCTTTATATATAAGATGTTGCATTTCGTAAATAAGCACGAAACCTTCCCACACTAAAGTGTTGTGCAAAATCGTGTCGTCCCACAGCGCCGCCGCGCAAAATTAGGCGTCGTCGTCAATGGGTTAAGCTTGACCAGAACGGGATCGGCCATACTATTCCTGCTATTCCTACGACTCCTGCGATTCCTGCGATTCCTGTGAGTCCCGCACAGTTTATACGCCGCTTAAATGAGCGCGTGTTGCGTGTTACGTGTTGTTTTACGCAACACGCGCTCAGTTAAGCGGCGTCTAAACTGTGCGGGACTCACAGGATTCGCAGGAATCGCAGGAGTCGTAGGAATAGCAGGAATAGTATGGCCGATCCCAACGACATGATATGCAGATGTGCTAAAATATCCGTTCTATACGCCGTCCGCGCAGGGCGCGGAGAGTGCGCAAGGTGTACCCTCGATATCATCCCATATGTCTTCCCTCAACATGACGTGGATTACGAGGATTGATGAGGCGCCGCCTCGCCTCGGCCTTGCGCCACGTGGCGTGCGCATCTTCAGCGTGATGTGGCAACAAGAAGAACGTGGAAAAGCCTTCGCCACGTTGTGTTGAGTGCCACGTCGCGCCAAAAGATGCGCTCGCAACGTGGCGCGAGTCCGAGGCGAGGCGGCGCCTCATCAAGCCACGTAATCCACGTCATGTTGAGGGAAGACATATGGGATGATATCGAGGGTATATTGCGCGTCATTCCTCTTTCCTCGTGCACTCTCGCTGCCTGTTTTCTCTGCGCTTCTTCCAGTCGTGAACTGCCTTCAATGTAAGCAACAGCTTTGCTCTCCGTGCGCAGCGCAGAAGGCCTATAGTAGCTTTTGCGTCTTCTGGCTTTTCTCGAAGTATGAGAGGTTCCTTACAGTCGGGACATTATAACTTCACATAATGTGTCTGCACACTCAGCGCTGGCTGGGCTTCCATTGTAATTGGCATAGCTCCAACGCAAAAAATTATGAAAAAGCGACATTTCTCGGTTTAGATAACGAGTTAATTTAGCACGAAAGGTTAGTAAATGAAAGACTAAGCCAATCTAGATTGTTTGCGCCTCTATGGTAGACACGTCATAGGTTATGCCGAGTGTGCAGTTGCAAATGCGAAGATAAAAATGACGATAACCATAGGATCTACCGGTGCGAAGATATAAGTGACAGTTACCCATAAATCTACCTAGTTCACAATTTCAAATCTCGAAGTGAATTATGAGACAGTGCTAAGTTGGAGGGAGCGAGCAGAGCAATTAGACACCATCAAAGAGAATTCACCTAGGTATAATTTCCTTATCAATGAAAAGGTGCAAAATTACAAGTTCATTCGAAAAACTACAAAGAAACAGAAACACAATGATTCATTGAAGAGAAAAAGAAAATGTCGTGCTTAGACACACATGCATGCTTTCGTCATTTCAAAGGTGCTAGATGTGCACGCGCTCGCTCCGAGACCACCGCGCGAGTTACCGCTAATATTTGGTTTCTTGGTTTGCCGCTATTCTTTCCCGCTATTCTAATAAATCTATCTAATATATAAAGAATCGTAAGCGCAATTCAAAAATGTGCAAATATTAGATGGATTTATTAGAATTCTTTATATATTAGATTTATATATTAGATAGATTAGATAGATATAGATTAGACTAGATCAAAGTTCATGATGATGATATTTGTCTCAGATCACGTACTAATGACAAAAAGGAATTTTCTATGGTTTTGTCTTCTACTTTTTATTCCTTATGTTCACGCTGTGTTCAATGATTTGTTTTTCAGAACGAGGAGCTCCTCTGTGAGTTGGAACACAACTCCAAAATTATGGAGGAAAAGGTGGGTTATACCTACTATTTGAGGTACTCCTACTGCAACGCAATAATCTCTTTTGGAAAGGGGCGTTTCATTCTCAGCGTTTGGCATGTTTGTTTGCTTGACAAACAACTGAACAGAAGTCATTCACTCAAGATTATCTTGCCAGATACGTGCCAATCGTGTGCTAGCCGCTGAAGCCTTAAACGGAATGGGTGACCTAATCTGCCAGTTCGCGGAAGTTGACAACAAATCGAATTTCTTGGAGGTATATGATCTTTTTGACTCCATATGTGTTTTGACCTGCTGATGCCGATTTGGGGCTCGAGTTCAGTCAAAAAATACTCTTAATTAGTTGCGACTTGCCATACGGCATCACGCTTTTTGGAAGTTTACAATAGGCACACTTGAACGTTGCTGTTGTTGCCTTCTCTCAGGATAGACTTCTTCTGACAAAAGCTGTTGTTTGCAGGAGAAAATTTCCGAGTTGGAAAATGTGAAGTTCTCGCATACTGAACCTGAAGAGTTGGATCACCTTGTGGAGACAGTAGAGAAGGTAGCAATCCACTGTTACATTTTCGGTGAGAAAATCTTGTGATCTGGCTCACCGTCTAAACATGAGTATATTGTGAGCTGTTTTTTGCGGAAAGTAAGGAAAAATGGTCGCAATCTGCGAGAAATATACGTGCGCTGGTAAGCAATTAAAGGCAGTGTCTCACCAAAATTTAACTGCCGAGATTTTTGCATTTTGCAAGCCTGTCGGACCCTGTCTAGCACTGCATGGGCTTAAAATCGCACGAAGTTCTCAAAAACCCCGTTTTCTGGAAGTCCCGTGGAAGCAACGTGGACGAGTTGTACCTTCCAACTCCAGCCTCAGCCACAGTGGCAGCAACAAGGGGGTAGGTGGATGCTAAATGGAGAGACATGTTCAAACGCGTAAGGGGAGAGACCGAAGGAGTCGTCCGCGCGCACCAAGGCGCTCTCCGGGTACCACTTTAAGCGGATTTTTGTCAGCGTGGAGGGGGTCAAATTAAGTGGGACGTGTTGCAATGGCCTATTTGGAGGTCCCTATAATAGAATATGTGAAGATCCGCGCGACCTCCACTTTGGTGAGACGCTGCCTTTAACAGGGACACGCCTTAAATCCGGAACCTTGTTGTAGACATGGTCTTAAGGATGAGATCTACGGATGAATCTCTCAGTCATGCTTTCCTACGCTTTCTTCTTCTCATGTACAGTTTGCCATCTATCGAGCTTGACTCGACAGGTAGATTGAAATGTTCAAATGTATCTTCATGTATTTTCCCTCCCATACTTACTTGAGTCAAATTTTGAAGATTTTTTGGACTTCTCCGCTGTTTGAGGTCTTGCTGCTTGTTTGCGCTTTTTCTCTTTTTGCATTCCTTGCTTTCGACCCAGCCTGATGCTTTGAGAAGAAGACACTTCTAATAGAAAAACATTGTAATTTGTTCAATTTTAATTAGACACGAATTAACTAGGAACACACCCATAGATGTCCTGGCAGCTTGCTCGTATTCGGCTGTTTAGCTCGTGTTCGCGACTATTCCATTACTCGTTCAAATCAGTGGTGCCATAATGATCTCCTTGATTGTAGCCGTCTTACGCTCGCGTCATCATAGCCGGAGGCAGTGCGGTCACTATTTCGCATTTTTGCCAAAAAACCGTAATTCGAGGTCACGGCTGCTAATCGGTCATAGCCCATTGGGCATACTTCGAAAACCTATAATCTGTTGTAGATCTGCTGCTATCTTTGGTGCTATCATATTCGTAATCAGTGTGAACAACCCTTCCCACTACTTTAAATTTCAGGTTATGAAGAGAAATCGGTGATGTAATACTTGGTAATATGAGTGTATATCAAGAAGCGCGATTTTTATTGCTAGATATATACCAAATACCACAATTGCAATGTTTAGTAACGTTCTAGAAGCCTTCAATATCGTTGGGGAAATATGGAAGATCGTCCCATGGGTTGTTTGATTTCATCATTTTGAGATAGTTTCGAACATAGATATTGGAGGCGAAAACTAATGTAAATGCATCTTGGCATTTTCTTGAATATCTGCGTCATCAATCTTTTTCGTCAGAAGCCGTCAAACCCAACAGGTAGTAACTTCAGACAGCTAGTAGAAAGCACTTCGTCTAGTATTCTTTAAAGATTTGCATAGCTCTAAATTGGGCCGTTGGATTAGTGACCTTCGAAGAAAGCACGCCTCTTAACCGTCTCCCGGTAGCAGCGAAGAAGTTGAAGCATAATACAACAGTGAGCCTACCTTCGTGAGCTGATACGGCCTCCTATGTAGAATGAGGTCTTCATTCATAGGTATTATCCCGATTTACCTCTTCCGTTTATGAAAAAACGTGAAAACTGAAAACTGCGTTACATCCAAGCTCTTCAAAGTGTTTTTTAGAAGCCAGTTCAAGAGAAGTGTGTAACTACTGACGTTGTTAGAAATTGTTTTGAGTTCTCTTTTCTTCTCTGTCTCTTTTAATTCTGTTGCAGCGTGTAAACGATTACACGGAATTTGACTGTTTTCTTTCGAATTTGGCTGACCGCATGGGTGAAGCGAGTGATACGGGAGACAGTGTGCAGTTGTTCTACGAAGCCTTACCGACAGTGGAGAAAATGCTGACTGGACTGTCGTTGTAATGAGGTTATCCTTTCAGCTAAGAATATGTAGAGAAGACGTTGCTAACTGTCTTTTGTGATGTTAGAACTGTAGTGTCCCAGGGAAGTGATGTACCTACGGATCTAATGAATATCAGTTGCATGCTCTGTGAATTGTTGGTGTTAATTTAACATAGGAGGTTGATCTTTCTGTGAATAAAGCTGTGCTGTACATTTATAGGTATTATTTTTCTGTCAATAGAGCAGCTATCCCATAATCTTTACTGCTACCCTGACAAAAGATGTTATCACCATTCTGTGACTAACAAGTGAAGTTCGCTTGTTCGAATTGGGTTTGGAAGGTGATGTATACTTACGGATAGAGTTTGAAACGCTGATCTCGAATGTAGCTTCTTTATCTGCAAAAAGTTTTCCTTTAGGAAGTTATGGGCTTTTTTTTTATAATGAAAGTGTGGTTTATGTAGGAGGATCATGACGTCCTGTGATTAACGAAAATTTGGCATAAGAGAAGCTCATAAGTTTTTTTAGAAGATTGCATCGCCGTATGGAAGGCTCTATCAAGGGTATACATCTCTATTCAAATCGCCACTTCGGCGAACTTCTTCCATTGCAAGAGACTTGGAACCTCTGCACATATTGTCAAAACAAGCTTAATCGTATGGTCAGCGAGTTTGCTTGCGATCAAACTGTTCCAGGTGTGATTGCTAGTTGGAAACAAAAACAAGCTCAAGCTTGTTCTGACAATGTTTGCAAAGCGGTTCTGAGCCTCTTAGTCACAGAAATAAGATTTAACTTACCCCATGATTACGCAACGAGCACCTAACCTTTTTAAAGCTTTGAGCCTTGCACTTGGATTGATTAAAAAAAATCATTCTTTTTTTCGCATTACTATAGCACCCTAAGGAACTTGTTTCATCAAGATTCCATCGTCTTTTTTGATGGACTCTCTATGCCTATCTACAAGTATTTTCTTGAATCAAACCTAGGACATGTGCAGTAACAAAAGCTTTTGAAAAACACAGAGACACGGTTGCACTTGCGAGAGTAGTAGGCTGTGCTTTATACTCCATTTTCTTTTGGTTCGGTTCAAACATTTTCACCAAATTAAGATCTTCATTCAAAGTGCCAAAATCGTAACATCATACCAGTTTTCCAACAAAGATGCCAATGCTAGCATACTAGTTCGTGGATATAGCCTTTGAGGGGGGAAAATCGTAAATATGTCATCTTTACATTAGGAACTTTTTGTAGTTGATCACATTATTTCTAGGTCCTGTTCCCGTTGGCAAGAGCTATTAGGGCACGTTTGTAAGATCCACTGAAGTTTTTCCTGATAACTTCCTTAAGCGGTTTCTCATACAATATCTAAAAACAGACTTTTAAGCCACGCTCCAAACGTTTCTTCTCTAATCCTGTTTTGTTTACGATCAGAGTTACAGATAACCGGGGAATGAAACGGGCAAATATCGAATTGTTGGAAGAGGGAAGAACTCATCGATGTTTACTTTGATTCATACCTCAAACTCACGTCCGATATCAATCATATCGCATTCGCTGCGACTCACAAGAAGTCTGACTAAATCCCCGTCTGAGTGGTTCTGAAAATTTCAGAAAGTCGAAAGCTAAGGGAAGTATGTTCAATCAAAGTCAAATTTTTAGACATGATGTAGACCATATTGAAGAGCATGAAACGCTAATTTCAATTTTACCTTCCTTCTCTGCGGAACATTTGTGCGCGGGAAGTCATGAGCGTTTATTGAAGAAAAAAGTGAATGCGCGTCTAGGATTAAGTATTTGTTGAATAAGGTGCCCTGGTAATTACCTCTGCTCCACTGCAGCGCTAGAAAACGACGATTATTGTCCTGCTTGCACATTCAGTTTCCTGTACAAACGCGCATAACTCCTGAACAGGGCACGAGCTGGCACACCAAGGAAATTTCAAAACGAAGCCCCGTTTGATCTTGAAAATTGCGTACGAAGTCCTCTTTGACCTGTTCTGAAGGTCCGTCATTATTTTTAAATTATGTAGAAGTATCTAGTAGGGTTTTCATGCATGCTGATTTCATGGAACAACTTTTCACGGCTTTTTGAGCTTTCTAATTGGTTGAATACATTTTGAGAAGCAGAAAAAGCCGATTTTTCAACTGCGGAGCATACTGAGTAGTTTTCAGATGGCTATAAAACGCTGAAAAGAAAACATCATGAAATAGTTTCTTCTCTGTATGTAAACTTTTACGGTGTAGATACATTTTATTTAGAAAAGTATGAAAACTTATATGAGCAAAGTGTCAGCTGGCACCTAGCTGGCATGGTGCCAGCTAATTCAGAAAAAAATTCAGCACAGCTTTCATCCACATAAGTTTTCGTAAATTTTTGGGCCATAGTTCGGGTCCCCCCACCGCGCATGCACTGACCAAATTTGGTGTCATACTATCGCGTTTTGGCTGAAAATAACGCCTTTGTTTGTTTGATGTACTGCCTGCCGGTGGCGTGCCGGCGGCATTCTTGCGGCTCTTCTCCGCCCCGGACCTCGAAAAAACGATATCCTCTTTGCTTTCCGCCCTAAAAACGATATCCAGCTTGACTCGGTGCCAGCTGTGTCGAGCCCTGCTCCTGAACCATAACTGTTCCGCAAATAAGGAAGGCAGCTTTAAAATCAGCGTTTTATGCCCTTCAAAATAATATTCATCACATGTGAAGAGAATACGTCGACTAAACATGCACTCCCTTGTAAGTCTTCTATGTAATCCTCGACAAACGAAAAACTGTTTAGCGCTAGAGGTAAAACACAAGTAGGCGATGAAATGCATTGCAAGTTTTCATAAGATCTCTAGATCTCTTCGACTTTTTATTCCGTGCCAGCTCAAAAGCGGTTATGGACGTGGGCATTTTCGATCAATTTTTCTTGAACTCAATCATTTGAAGGCAGTGTCTCACCAAAATTTAGTTGCCGAGATTTTTGCATTTTGCAAGCCTGTCGGACCCTGTCTAGCACTGTATGGGCTTAAGATCACATGAAGTTCCCAAAAACCCCGTTCTCTGGAGGCCCCGCGGAAGCGACGTGGACGAGTTGTACCTTCCAACTTCAGGCTCAGCCACAGTGGCAGCAACAGAGGGAGGGTGGATGCCAAGTGGAGGGACATGTTCAAACGCGTAAGGGGGGACACCGAAGGAGTCGTACGCGCGTACCAGCTCGCTCTCCGCGTACCACTTTGAGCGAATTTTTCTCAGCGTGGAGGGGGTCAAACTGAGTGGGACTTGTTGCAGTGGCCTATTTAGAGTCCCTATAATAGAATATGTGAAGATCCGCGCAACCTCAACTTTGGTGAGACACTGCCTTTGAGGCTAGTTTTCCTCCACTAGGAAATGTCGCGCTCATTGAATCAATCTGTTCCTTACCTTGATGAATTTATGCAGTAGTTTTGCAAAGTACGCTGATCTGTTCCGAACTATAGACACCAATGCGAGAAGACCCTTACAGAAACTGCCACTGAAGTCTTGTAATATTGCAGCTTCGATTGAGTGATGTGCCACCTGAATAAAGCCTGCAAAGATACTGACTAAGATACTGACTTGGCGCAGCAATAGTATTATCAGTGAAATTATTCGAGATTACTTGTGGTGTCTGACACAAAAATTTGAGGCACTAAAAGATATAGGAGAAAGGTGAGTACCAGAAATAGCAACCTTTCTCTGCAGTGGATGGATACAAACTGTATACTAAATTTCCCGGACTATTCTCAATGAGATTAAGATGTCAAAGAGGTACATAAGATTATTCATTGTCAGTCGTTGATCGATGAGGTAGAAGACTATTCATTGTCGTGTCTTGATTCATTTTGTTCTTATTGCATTCTTGTATATGTCTAAACAGTGAGAGGGGTATACAATTCTCCAACTTGAGTCGTTAAAATCTTAAAGTCTGTGACTCCACACTTTGGTAGAAAAATCAGTAACTAATGATGGACCCTATTAGGGTGTCTTATAATTTTTTACCGTTTTAGCCTAGACATCAGCATTTCTCGAGAACTGGGGCACCTACAAAGGGTACAGATATATGATACAGATATATGTACTTCTGTATGTATGAGCTATATGATAACGTGTGTGGAAGGATCTCAGGACTCCTAGGGGCGGAGTTTGCCCTTTCACTCCATTCATTCTTCTTTTCTTTAGTTCTAGCCATGGAAAATTACGAAAAGTTACAATCAAAGGTTTGATGTCTCAAGCATATGCTAGAATAAATGGAGAATTTCAAAGATTTTTTGGGGCCAGGATACGATCTTTTACTGTAAAGTTCGTATTTAACTGCTATCATATTTCAGCTCAAAACTTCACGTGGAATGCAGATTGGGCAGACTGTTGATGGCCAACTTGTAGAACTTGATTTATTCTGTCGAATATTACTTAAGCCACATCAAATGTGGAAAGATAAAAAAGCGACGGTTGTAATAAAAACGGTAAAATATTATGCGACAACCTAATATGTTGTCACTTTTTGATTCTCCTGAGAGGAGTTCGGCGTGTTCTCACCACCATCAACTTATTTGTCAAGTCGAACTTTATGTGAATCTACATTATCATCTTGAATTTCTGGGTCTTCCTACAGACTTAGTTTCTCAAAGTGATCGGAAATCAACGGGGCACCTCCAGTCTTATATTAGGTTGGTGCAAAAGTTCTTTCCGCCCAAATTCAAAAATTCATAACTTGTTGAATTCTCAACGAAACTGCAATATCTAAATTTTGCTTAAGAGTGAAACTCATGTTCTTTGCATCTGTAACTGAACTGTTCGTTAAAGTTTACAACTTAAGGAGATAGAAGCTCAAAACCAAAATCACTCAAAATTTGAATTTTTCGTGTAGGGTTAAAAAATCAGAAATCTGCACCAAAAATCGGAGCAGTCAGGATTGTAGGTTCTTTCACCAGCTCTTTCTAACGGTGCAAAGTTTGCGCTGATTGAGCGTCTCTATGAAAAGTTATGATTTCCCTGAAAAACGCCAAAATAAATCAAATTCGCCCTTTTGTATTGCTTGCTCGAAATTCATAACTTTTGATAGAGGCGCTCAATCAGCGCAAACTTTGCACCGTTAGAAAGAGCTGGTGAAAGAACCTACAATACTAACTGCTCCGATTTTTGTTGCAGGTTTCCGATTTTTTATGACCCTACACGAAAAATTCAAATTTCGAGTGATTTTGGTTTTGAGCTTCTATCTCCTTAACTTGTAAACATTAACGAACAGTTCAGGTACAAATGCAAAGAGCATGAGTTTCTCTCTTAAAGGCAGTGTCTCACCAAAATTTAGTTGCAGATATTTTTGCATTTTGCAAGCCTGTTGGAGCCTGTCTAGCATTGTATGGGCTTAAAACCGCACGAAGTTTTCAAAAATCCCGTTTTCTGGAGACCCCGGGGAAGCAACGTGGACGAGTTGTACCTTCCAACTTCAGCCTCAGCCACAGTGGCAGCAGCAGAGGGGAAGTAGATGCCAAGTGGAGGAACATGTTCAAACGCGTACGGGGGGAGACCGAAGGAGTCGTTCGCGCGTACCAGTCGATCTCCGCGTACCACTTTGAGTGAATTTTTCTCATCGTGGAGGGGGTCAAATTAAGTCGGACTTGTTGCAATGGCCTATTTAGAGGTCCCTATGATAGAATATGTGGAGATCCGCGCGACCTCAACTTTGGTGAGACACTGCCTTTAAGCAAAATTTAGATCTTGCAGTTAACAAGTTATGAATTTTTGAATTTGGGCGGAAAGAACTTTTGCACCAACCTAATATATAAAGCTGAATGTCTGTTTGTCTGTCTGTATGTCTGTCTGTCTGTATGTCTGTCTGTACGTATGTTCCGAATAGAAAATTCCATTTCTGAACCGATCCGGACCAAACTTGGCACACATACACTACGGGCCCCGGCGGGTGTCATAGGCTACTTTTCGTCATCGATCGATATCGATTTTATCGATTTTTTGCAAATTTTGAGCTCGGGGCTGGGAGTTGGCACAGGGGGTAATCGAGCATGCTGATCATCCCCGTGGGGGTGATCAGCATGCTCGATTACACCCTTCTGCCAAATTCCAGCCCCCTAGCTCAAATTTTGCAAATAATCGATAAAATCGATAAAAGTAATGCACGGTTTCGAAAACTAATATTGTATTCGTAATCAGCATGCTCGATTACACCCCTCTGCCAACTCCCAGCCCCGTAGCTCAAATTCCGCAAAAAATCGATAAAATCGACATCGATCGATAACGAAAAGTGGACTGTGACACCCGCCGGGGCCGGAAGTGTATGTGTGCCAAGTTTGGTTCCGGATCGGTTGAGAAATGGAATTTTCTATTCGGAACATACGGCGGAGCCGGGTAAGCCAGCTAGTCTTTTCATAAATTATACTTTTTCTCTCAGATCAATGATAATTTCGCAGCAGTGCATATGCCTTATGTACTAGCGGTTCGTACCGTTAGGATAGTTTCCTGCTGCTCCTTTTCAGTAGTCCCCTAACGGCGCTTTACTGCGCTAAACTGATAATTCTCCTTACCAAAAAAATTTAAAAATTCGAAAAGTTGTATTCCTTAGTCCAAAATATTTGCCAATAACGTGTTTTGTACATAATGTGTGAAAATGACAGAAAGTTGGGATTAGCTGCGTACGCATACGAGGGGCGCTAACTCTATCCGACTCAGAAAATAGTAACCTCATTCGCTGGCTTTTTTGAGAGAGTCATCGACAGCTACTACTAAATAATATTGATTACATTATCTGCCATGAAGCCATGCCACCACGGTTTGGGTGTTTCCTCACTCTTTACAGCTAAAAACTAACTTGTTTCAAAGTTCTAGTTCTGCGATGTTGTTCCAAGTCCATAACTGTTCCGATGCGATAAAGTTGCATTTAACTATTATACAGACAAGAACACGAGTAGATGAGCTTGCATGTAGTTAAGTCAAGAAGATTCAATAGTTGTAACGTCTGCCAAAACCGAAGGGAGAAATTCCTTTCATTTGAAGGCAGCGTCCACCCAAAATCTCGTTTTCGATGTTTCAACGTTATCGGACCTCCATGGCAGTGATTTCAGATATGAGGTAAGATTATGAGAAGGCCTCAAAATTGTCCTTCTGAAGCCCTATTTTGGCGAATGCTGGCGAGCGTTCGGTGATGATCACGTTGCATGCAACGGGAACTCGTTGTTTGCAACTGTGCTACATCACACAATATGCGTCATGACGTTGCTTGTCATGTCTGAACATGTACCGGGCAATCTGTGGGTAAGTGGGGCGCAAAAATGGAGGCGGACGCAAAAAGGATTCTTCGACTTGCATGATCATTTCTTCTTTTGAAAGCAACCTCAGGGCCCGGCACAAGGTGGGCAAACGGGGTTTTCCAAAACGAATACCCCTTTGATCCCAGTAAGTTTTACGAATACTCCCTTGAGCCCAAAAATGACGTTTTGTGCTTGTGCGACGAGATTACCGGCCACACTTCGCCTAAAAGCGCTCAAAAGCGCCCAAATTGCTTAAATTCCTCATATTACTCAAATTGCTGCACCAAGGTAGGAAACAGGAAGAAAAATAAGCAGTAAAAAGGATTAGGGAATGAGAAAATATCAAAGAAACGCAGTCATAGGAATGAGAGACGCCGTTCCCGCGCGTATCGATTGACTGGGGCGCGCTTTCTATCTTAGAAAGCTGGGCTGCTGATGCCATTTTGGGCTCCAACAAGGACAAGAGGAGGAGTTTCGGAACCAAAATTTCACCATGTAGTAAACTTTAGGTGTACAACAGATTTATGTAAAAATTTTGAGAAAATTATGTGAATTGAGAGTTTTGCCGACCTCAGGTGGGAATTAGGTCGGCAAATGCCGACCTAATTTGGAAATAAGTTAAGGAAACTCTTCATTCACATAAGTTTTTCATAATATTTCATACTTTATTACTTAGTTCTATTGCGCATATACACACCGAAGCCCGCGCGATTTCGTTACCTCTGCGTTGCAAACGAGCCATTTTTCCATTTCTTTGGTAGCGCAAAATTTCCAGAAAAAAGTTTGCCACAACCTTCAGTCACATAATTTCTCAATGAAACTCCTCAGTTAAGTCCTGCAAGCCCGTGTGCATGTACTTACCAAGTTTCATACCATATCGTTCATCTGCGCTTTCCAAACGAGCCGTTTAAATTCACATTTTCATTTACCAGTTTTGCGAAATTCTCGGAAAAAATGCTAATTACTCGTTCCGTTCACATAAGTTTCTCATAATTTTTCATACTATGTTTCCACTAGCCTCTGTCCGTTCGCACACAAAATTTGGTGCCATATCGTTACACACACATTCAGAACTAGTCATGTATGCAGTTACAAATAGCATCGCTTGGGCGACGTCGCGCGTGCGGCACTTAGCGACGGCACGGTCTGACGCGCGCGAACTCCAGTGTTCGCCTGTTGAGGCACATAACATGTCAAGATAAGTAGCGAGCATGAACTACCAATTTTTTTCCGGGGCTCTGCCCCGGACACCGCAAAAACGATTTCCCCTTTGCTTTTTGGCCCCAGAACGATTTCCAGCTTGTCATTTGCCGACCTCGTGCCGAGCCCTGGGCAACCTTGGGGGACCGGCGACGAAATGGTCAACTTCTAGGGCCTGCTCATAGATTAATTAGTGATCCGAGATGCATGGATCCTAAGTGGACGCTGCCTTCCAGAAAGCTCGATTGCTTGAGACAGCTATGACTTTCCGATGACCCTTACATATATTAGGTTGAACGGAAAGTTCTGTCGCACCATTTTCAAAAAACCGTAACTTCTTCTTATCACGATGTTTTTGCATGACAAAAATTTTGTTGTAAAGAGGAATTCATGCATTACCTAGCTGCACCTTGGCTGCTATCTATCAAGTTGTAAACGCAGAGGTGAAATTGGGGAAAGGAAGTCACTTCAAGTTTAGAAATTTGAGGCAAGCCCTTTACAAAATCGAAAACTGTGCCATAAAATCTAAAACAGCCAATTTCTAGACTATTTTACACCCTCTTTCTAGCTGAGCAAAGCTGGCGCTGATCGAGCTGTTCTTTGAAAAGTTATGAATTTTTAAAAAGATTTTTTGGCTTTTTTTCACGAAAATCATAACTTTTTTCAAAAGGGCTCGATCAGCTCGAATTTTACTCTGCTAGAAAGAGGAGATCAAAAAACATAGGATACTCCTTGTTTGGATTTTATGGCATAGTTTTGGAATTTTTAACGGGCTTGCCACAAAATTCCAAACCTAAAGTGATTTCCTTTTCCCATTTTTATCTCTGTGACCACAACATAAAAGAAAGCAGGCAAGGTGTCATTGGAAAGTACATGGTCTGCCCTTTCTAGCGGTATTTTTCGCATGCAAGACTACCGTGACAGCAGGATACGATTTTTGAAAATGGTGCGACAGAACTTTCGGTTCAACCTAATACTGGGTGTCCCAAAAAAGTGTGAACACTGTTTGATTGTTAATAACTCCCTTGCTTTCATGTCTTTCGCCGAGATTGAGGCCGCTGATTTCGAATATGAAAATTCCGCTTTACTGTGATGATTCTTTTCAAATTTATTTCAGGTAAACCGCAACAATTGAATTTCCGACATTTGTCAAAAATGTGATTACACCGTCAAAAAAACTAAAAACACTCGCAAAAAGTTGTGCAATGGAATCAGCGAGCGCGAGAACCTTAGTACACGATATTTCAGATTTTTTGAAAAAAAATTTGTCAAATGGCATATTTCACAATAGATCCACATGCTAGAAGTTCATACCGTAATCCTACAGTAACGAAGGGCAATTAATAATTCGCTTTATACCGTAAATCTAAGTTGAACCTCGCTCTACAGAATGGTGAGTCAAGCTCGGCGAAAGACATGAAAGCAACGGAGTTATTAACGAGCAAACAGTGTTCACATTTTTTTGGGACACCCTGTAGTTCATATATTGAAAAGTACTGCCATAAAGTTACACTCTCGTAGGTTCTTTACCTTCAACCTATTTTCAAGAAATTAATTTCATAAGTCAGAAAACTTTATCAGCAATCTAATTTGGCTTGATTTCGTACTATTTGTGATAGATAGAAGCTCTCCGATTGTATGACATTTTGCGTTCGATCAAGTCAGATTGAAGAAAAGAAAATTTTGCCAATTGCAAGACCAGGAAAGAAATGAAGAGTACAAATTCTCGAGAATGGTCCAAAACTTACCTTTTCTGTCTGTGTATTAGGTTGTCCCAAAAGTAAACTTTTTTGAATAACTCAAGCTGTTTTTGTTTTCCTAGTACATTTAGGGTATCATTCGATAGAGCAGATCAAGCTCTACAAAATGACCTCCAAGGGTCCGCCTAAGTCGCCTTTTATATAAAGTTTGAAGCCAAAATCGAAAAAAAAATTTGTCACCTGAAAACTGGATTTCTGCGACAAAAAACCCTAAAGAACTCCAACTTTGGTCATTATATTAGGTCATTCCGAAAGTAATTTCGCTTTTTTCAAACGGACGCCACATGTGATGGAACAAAGGTTCTCAAGAGATCTTGGATGCATCCGATGCAACATTTCATTCTCTTTCTAAAGGTTATGAAACTGTTGCAAAACAGTCAATGAGCTTTCAGAAAATAACCAAAATTTGCGACCCATGCTTTTTGAGATGGTCAAGTTTCACGATTTTTTAAAACTTTCATATCAATCCTCAGAAGGAGTTCAAGTAACGATTCGATAGAGTAAACCTTGTAGAATACAGTACTACTTTTTTCCCTTTCTCATATCTCGCCGTAATTTTTTGAAAGATTTTTTAGCAGAACCATCGGATTTTGGCAGGCCCACCTCAGCCACAATCGCATCAAACATCATAATTTGTCGGAATTTGAGACTACCAAGATGGTACTATGAGTTAGCATTAATTTTACAAAGCAAGTGAGGGTTTACGGATTCGAAATATCAAATTTCGAGTTTTTCGGGTATAACCTGGGGCTCGCTGAAAAATGAGTTATGATGATTTCTCCTCCGAAACTAAACGAATCGGAAACAAAAAACACCTGTTAGAAAGAGGAGAAAATGCTGCATCGAACAGTGCGCGAGTTGATCTTCTTTTGATGTTCTACGAGGATTTAGTTGTCCAAGCATGGAAATCGGTAGTATCAGTTAAAATTCTTTTAAAATGTATGATAAGCTAAGGAAAGGAGAAAAAAGCAGTAGTGTATTCTATGAGGTTTACTCTATCGAATCGTTACTTGAACTCCTTCTGAGGATTGATATGAAAGTTTTAAAAAATCGTGAAACTTGACCATCTCAAAAAGCATGGGTCGCAGATTTTGGTTATTTTCTGAAAGCTCATTGACTGTTTTGCAACAATTTCATAACCGTTAGAAAGAGAATGAAATGCTGCATCGAATGCATCCAAGATCTCTTGAAAACCTTTGTTCCATCACATGTGGCGTCCGTTTGAAAAAAGCGAAATTACTTTCGGAATGACCTAATACATTAGGCATCTAGTCGTACACAAATATGCCTTTATAGAATCTTTTCCGAGCATAGAAAGCAAGAAACAAATTGTCCAAAAATGGCAAACTCCACCCCCAGCCCCTCCCACATATGTCATTGTATACTACAAGCTTTACTAAGTATAATTTTGAAACCTTACCTCTGTATGTGCTCTTATAACCAAGAAATACCAAGTTTTACATAAAAAACCCGAAAAAAGTGGCATTTTGGCATTTTGGGACCCTATTTGTTTCTCAATTTTGAGCCCCGAAAAAATGCACCAAGTACATTTCTGGGTACTACTGTGTGTCTACTATATAGAGACCAAGTTGGAAGTCCGTAGAAATTCTCTGGAAGGAGATCCGATTTTTAGGATAGTTGAAAAATTTTGATTTTTAGCTCCAAAATTTACCTAGGTTACGAATTAGATGGAACTTTGGTAGTCGTTTTGTAGAGCTTGCTGCGCTCTACCGAATGGTATCCTAAATCTGTCAAAAAACAAAACAAAAACAGCTCAAGTTATTTAAAAATGGAGTTTACTTTTGGGACAACCTAATAGTTACTCACCTTCTCATATTCATCAAAAATAATCTTGAGCTGTTTGTAATTCCGGCTCGTCAAAATATCAATGAAGCACTTCTCATGTTCACAGAGGCTTTTCGCTGAGCTGTACAGTAGGAGTGCGTCCTCAAATCTCGTGGTAAAAGGATATAGAGTTAGCAAGTAGAGCTCACTTCGGCAGCCTTTTTCTCGTCGGTGTCGTTGGTCTCATCCCTTCGGCAGCTGCAGAGGGAGATCAAGAGACGCTAGAAGCAAAAGGCATAGATATGATTTTAGTACATACTAGAGGATAAATGTAAATGCATTGATTCCTTCTCATATTCAGCGGAAATAAATGAACGTATTGGAAAGTCGGTGGCACTTTTTCATTCATATCCATGCTTTGCCACTCAAAGTCTGGATTTTACTGTCGGGCGAAGGGATAGCAATTCTAATTATGCGGTCGCGAGCGTAACGCGCGAGCGCCTATCTACAACATTATGCACCCCATGGTAAAACAACCGCATTCGCGCTCTTAACATTTGACTCAACTGGCTTGGCTCTGGCAAGGAGGGGCTCCGTGACCTAATTAAGGCCAGCTAGTGATCAGAGAACACTCGCGCGAGAGAGACGCAGGTGCGGCGCGGGCGCGAGCGGCCTTAATTACGCCACAAAGCCCCGCCTTAGCGAAGCCAAGCCAGTTGAATCAAAGGTTAGGTGCTGCGCCTCGGCGATAGACCTAGTGAAGCACAGAGTTTCTCTTACGCACGATTTTACTAGGGTGAACGGCAAAAAATGGACAGCTTGGTTTTCATCACATTTTGATATTTTTTTGCTTCGATCAACAGCAAATAGGCTGCAACTCGGACTTCGCTTACATAAACGGCTTTAAACGGCCGGTATTATTCTGGTAACGCGTCAAAGGCAGTTTTTCACTAGGGACTAGTGAAAAACTAGGGAAGTGTGGGTCTTTACATATTATTTTAGAGGACACCGTGAACAGGCAAACGCCTCAGGTCCGACTCGATCCGGGCCCTTGTACGCCGAGAAATTTGCACTTAAAGTGATCCGCAAAGCGTGATTGGGCCCTCACGGCCGACGCTTTCGATTTCCCCTTTACGCGTTTCAACATGTTCCCCCATTTGGCGTCACCCCATGGGGTTGCTGCAACTTTGGCAAAGGTAAGGTTGAGAAGGCACAACCAGGGCCCGGCACGAATCGGTTTCTAGGGTTTCGAAAAACGAAGTCCCCCTGACTTTCGGAAGTTATACGAAGTCCTCTTTGACTTACCTACTTAAGGGAAGACGAAAACAAGAGGTTTTACTATCTGGAAGGAAAAACGTGAGATAAGAGTGAAAATTCAATGGAGCCGAATATTACGCATGCACAAGAGTTTATCGTTGGAGCGCGATATTTGGCAAAGCGTTAAGAAGAAATTAAGGCAAAACAAAAGAAAGGCAATGATATGAAAATGTCGTAATGCTCAGGGATATATTTTTGACCGGGGAATCTGTTCATGATAGACAAATCCAAAACTTATGTGAAGTGACAGAAATATAGGCTTCATACGATCTCAGATCGCATGGTGATCGTCTGGAAGACGAATTCTGGAAAAGGTATTATCTCACATAAGCTCGACTAAATGGAGCTTATTCTTGGTGCTTGGCCCCGACTCGTCAGAAACGATATTTCCTTTGCTTTTTGCTATAAAAACGATGTCCAGCCTGCTTCCAGCCGATCTGTGCCGGGCCCTGGGCACAACTTTTCCGCTCCATGGGGCATTCAAAAAAAAACGGGGTTTTCGTGGATTACATGCGATTTTAAACCCGCATTGAGTTAGAGAGGGACGAAAAGGCTTGTAATATGCAAAAATCTCGACAATCAAATTTTGGTGAGACACTGTCTTTAACGCTTCTTTGCCACATTTCTGCGCGTAGCGCAGTGAAGAACTAGAACAAGCTTTTTTGAACATCGCTCATTCTTGCGCTGTTATACCGTAATGTTATAGAGCAACTGACATACCATTCAAAAGAGCTTTTCATGCTCTTTCAAATATCGTATTAAACATACAGGACTTCTTTTTATTTCTGGATAAAAAAGCAAAACACCTGAAAAATCGCAATTTTTGACGCAATAAAATCCAAAAATTATGCTTCGACCTATATCTTCCAAAGACAGATGAAAATTGAGGTAAATGCAAATGGATAGATAGATCGTAACTAGTTCCATCAGATGGTAGACAGACATGCATTCAACTGCAAAGAAGTAAATAACACCAACTTCGTCCCAGAAAATGCCAATGACCATATTTCTTGACTTTAGCAGTTGCGACCAGCAAGCCATCGTGGGTTTGGTGACTGTACCTTCATCCATTGCAGCAGCAGTGCTTTGTATGGTCTCACATTTTCAGTGCGCAGATACTGCTCGAAGTTTGTAATTTGTCGAAGTGACTAACTTTACATTTCAGCAAGTTTAAAGATTATTAAGTATGTTGATGACCTTTTATTATTATCTGAAGGAGAACAATATATCCCAACACCTTTCCAAAATTGAGGGTTCGATCACTTTTTTTCTCGAGAAATCTGCAGTTATTTTCTGGGTGTCCCATTTTCTACCGTTCACCCTAACACTTTCAAGAAAAGCCAAGCATTCAATAATTAGCAGCTCACGAATAGTATTTGTAAACGAGGAAAGAGCAACAAAGCAGCAACGAGGACTTTTTTGAACCAAATTATCGTTCGATTAATAGACCAAAGTTTTTCCCAAGCAAGTTAAGAGTTTGATCATTTTTCTGACCTTAGTCATATGGATACCGTAAAACTACCATATGACGCAGTTAGTAACACAAGAACTCAATGGCCTTTGAGAAAATGAAATTCCTTCCTGTAAGAATCCAGAAGTTCTTCGTGAGAGATCAATTTCGAGGTCCGTGGAATAGAGTTCTTCGTACTTGCGGAGTACTTCTACCAACTGCCCATTATTTTGAGAGATCATCACTTCGATCAATACAGATTTCCTGCTTGTGCCCTGAAAGAAGATCAATGAGCAGCCACAAGAGATTTCAATATCTTTTGAACAGGATTGTGCCTGAACAGCTTTTCTCAGTTGCTTTGCTTGATACACCGCCAGTGGTTGCATCAATGCGAGCACAAGTCTCTGTTTTTCTTCGTATCCAGCAGCACTAAGCTTCGATTTGAGTTTCTAAAAATTGCTGCTGCAAACTAATTTCTCACATATCGTCCTAACTGAACTATGGAACTTGAATGAATCTTACATGAATATAGGAAGGTGGTCTCTGTGGTTAGGCACAGATCAAAACTCAAAATTGATGAAAACTTGGCCCAATAACTCAAACGTTTAGAACATTCGTAGCAAGGCCAGGTTTTCGACCACTACCAGTTCGGACCGGAGCTTTTTCGCTCTGTCAAGCCTAATCCGTCATGGTAGTCTTTTAATATTCATAACATGTCTTCAATGAGTTGCCCAAGGGTTATCGAAAGCGCTGACTACCAAATTAACATTTGTATCAATTTTTGCCATTACACGGTAAGGTTACGGTAGCCAATCTGTACGTCCAAATCATGAATTTAGCCAATCTGTATGAGCTCCAAATCATGAATTTTCATTGGAAAAAAACTTTTTGGATAGCATCCGTTTTGTCCGCTATACCATAGCAGGATTATGGAAACAGTATAGTAAGATTTTCAGAAAGATCAAAAACAATGTAAGAGGGCAGTGATAGAAAACGAGATTATCAGCGAAGTTATGTAGGGAAGCTTAGGGTGGAAGCTGATTTTTTCTTCCAGCGGTTCGAGAAATTTTTTTCCAGGGGGAGGGAGCGGGACAGTGGGACAAGAATTTTTTTGACTGGGATAATGTGACGTTAGCAATGAAAAGATTCTTGGTAAACTCAAGGATTTTCACGCGCCTGTGAACGGGCCTAGCATGTACCCCCCCCCCCTCTCCCCCCCACCTCCCCACCCCAGGATTTTTTCACAAAGCTACCTCAGATTCTTGAAAGCCTTGAGATATCTTCCAATCCACAAGCAAGAACAAGTCAGAGGTGCAGTGAGGAAGGCGACAATCCCCATCTTGTGCCTTTCAAAACTTTTCGATGCCAAAGTGACGCTGCCAAGATGGGGGGGGGGGGGGGGAGGGGTGGGGGAATGGGAACAGATACACGACCGATGCATAAGTAAAATTTTGTAAGAATTAGCAAGAGCGATTTTACACTGCTTGCGTTTTGCGCGTTGTCGCCTTCCGCGTGCACCCACTGGCATGCTTGCGGCAGTCGGGCGCGGCGAAATTTCGAGAGCACGTCTTGCACAATGGCAATTTGTGCTGGGACAAACGACCTCGCGTCGCGTGTTCCGCTGTGACGGCCAGTTCATGCGTTCGAGATACCCATAGATTGCAGCTTATCTCGTTCGACATACCTTCACCAAGTTTTTACCGTACATAAGATCATAAGTCCTGGCTATTTCTTGTCTCTGCCAACTGCAACGATTGCAGATAATGATAAATAGCTGCAATAATTAATTCAGGATTAATATACCTAATTTTGCACGTAATCACCTTTCTAGAGTGGAAGATGAAAGCCTTTAGAATCTTTCGGAGAATGGCGGCATCTTGATTGGGATGAAAGTTAGAAATAGGCATGATGGAGGGAGTGACAGACATGGCTGGGTTCCCTAAAGTATGCAATGTAATTTTTGATAAGTAAATCAAAAAGAAGGATTACTCAGTCATTTCTTATATCCATCATCATTGTTTATGTGTTTCGCGCAAAGAGATTTGATCTGTTGTTGCTTTCAATTATGATTCAGCACAAAAGTATGAACAAACTCTTCATGATGATGGACTCGCCAGCATCGTCGGTGCTATGCATGCAGAGAAATTTCTAGTTATTGCATCAAATGTCCGAATTTATGTGACAAACTTCATTCATCGAAAGTTCAAAACTCTCAAAATTAGCATGTCATGGCACGAGAAAGAACGAAGTTAATCAATCAAATATAAAATTGTAACCAACAAAGCAATAAAACATGAAAGAATTAGTACATAGCAGCTATATAGATTGCGACAGTTCACTTCACAGCTTCTAAGTGTGAAGATAAGCTACAGAAGTGATTGGCAGGTGTTTTATCAGTATCAGCAACATTCTCTGGTCAAATAACTTCACATCGCATATCTCAACTCTGTCTATATTTTGCAACATTCTAACAAAGCTTGCCAGGGCAGTCGAAATCAGGAAAAATTGTAATTGTCACGAAAAGTAGCCTCTAGTCCGACTTCAAACTTTGCTAATTTTCTTTGTGTTTCACATTTCACTAGGATCGATGGTATTTGTTCCCCTATACGGGATTGTCAAGTTGTTGATTCGTGAGGATAAAGTAGATGTGTTTTGCACTATTGGTAGCTCCACTCATTATGCGTGCAAAAAGCTGAGGATAGCAGATGATCACTATTGATAGCCTTACCATTTCAGCATACTGGTTTGGTGAGATTAGACAGTACATTAACCATCAAACCGTTTGCTTGTTAGAATCAAAGTCGTTTTGCTGGCAGAAAAGGGGGCATGGGTACCATCTCCATGATTCACATTGATTCAATTCTGTTGACTGTAGTCATAGAGCAGTCACCTTCAGGCTTTCATCATACTTTTAATAATCTAGTCTGAAGGTTGGACCCAAACTACATGATGAACTATCGTGGTTAGAGTATGGAGATTGTGTATTTTTGTTTTTTATGGAACGCCAAGAGCGTATGGAATAAATAAGTAAATAAATAACTCTCATAACCACACTCCTGCTTTGAGCACATTCTTTGCGCAGGTTTGTCTCCTACTCAAAACAATATGTTCTACAGCAGGGAATTTCCAGCTGATGCGTTTTAGTCGCAAAGGCAGTGTTTAAGCTAAATCTAACCCTCTCCGATCAGTGCCGATCCTGAATGCAGGCCCCAGGAGAGGGCTGGCCGGTCCTCTAATGTTGTCTCTGAATGGGGATAATGGACCCGGAGCAGCGAAAGTATATTAAGCCAAGCCCAGATCTTAGTGCAACTGCACCCATACAGTTGCAGCCCTCCCCGCAGGCATGCCGATGGGAATGAGCAATTCGAAACTTGTCCGATCCCTGAAGAGAAGGTACCCAAGGGAATTTGGGAATTTTGGACAATTTAACTTCATAACTGTAATCAGAGCCAGGAAAAGTCTCAGCATGATCAAACATAGGAGGCGAAATTTTGGGGGGACACTGCCTTCAAGTCATTCAACGATACCTTTATTTAAAATCTACCTTTTGTTTTTGAAGAGGATGGTTTCGAAACAATTAGCAGCAAACGAGGACACACGGAAGTCAAAAAAAAAAAGGTGGCGGTAAGAATAAACGTAGACCAGCCGCTAAATGTCAGCTGCCATTTAAAACGTATAGAGACTTTCAGAAACTTGATATTGAAACATCTTCTAAGTTTATCAAAAAAGAAGAGCTACCTCTCATTTCATCTGTCATAAAGATTTTTTGCACCGGATGTTATGTGTTGCATGAAGCAAAGACAGGAATTTGAACGTCCTTTACGAGATTTCCAAGACCTCCTAATCTGACTTGGGAATAACTTTTCTTCACTCATTTTATACTCTAAACTAAATACAATCTGTCTCGATTGGGATTAGGCCGAAACGCCGATGTTGGCGCGCTCGCAGCGCTAAGGCTTTGCGCTGCATATGCGCACTATCGGAGAGAGGGAAGACATTGAAGAGAAAGCATGACCCATGCTGCTTTGGGAATTATCGCACAGTGATTCCAAATCTGCCTTCATTATCTGCCATGCGCCTCTGAACGGTGAGTTATGGGCGTTTTTCAAGTCAAAAAATGAACGCAAAACTAGAAAATCTCCCACATTTGCTCCAGTGATCCTGCGTGGGGTATCAGAGCAATCCATGCAATGGATACATCCTGTCTAAAGTGATAAAACTCAACATTGCTTTATCTAAACGAATTGTAACAATTGATTTCATCTAAATCCTGCATTCATTTTTCGTTCCAAAAGACGGTCATAACTCGGCGTCCAGAGACGCTTGGCAGATATTGAGGGCAGGTTGGAGCCATCGTGCAATGCTCTTCAAAGTGGTATGGTTGTCATTTGAAAATGCCACTTCGACCAAAAACGCTTTCCTTGTTAGGTAAAATAACATTTGCATATGCTGCTATGAACTGCGTCGTCGTGTGAACTCGTTTGATTTGTGGAGATGCTACCTGCTACCATTTACTGACATCCCGACACCTGAGGTAAAACAATTACAAGTATCGATATTTTGACTATACACAATAGAAAAAACAGCAAGAGGATATAGCGGTAGGGAAAGGACACCTCATTTAAGCGCAGTCTCCGCGGACCACTGTCGCACGTTTTTCCTATGAAGTCATCAAGGCAGTGATAAAGGTTCGACGAATTCGGATCTAATGAAAGCCTTGCTGTTGAGATTTGAGAAGAAGCAGCGCTGCAGCAACGGCTAATCGCAAAAATTGTTAATTTCGGACTCTACAAAATGCATGTGATGGAAAGCGTTTGAGAGCTTTGCAAACAATCGAATTGCAATCATTTTAGTCGACCAAATAATAATCAAATAAAGGTTAACTCAAAGCTAGATGAGAACGATGAGAACGATGGATGACCGATGGAAGCAAGATATACTCGCAGGCATTTGAAAAAGGATGAGCTCAATGATGAGACTGCTCTAGCGAATGAAAATTGCAGTGTCATATCTTAAGAAACCATTGCTAAAGGCAGACGCACCTTAGAGGCAGCGTCCAAGCAGGTCTGGACCTATGGGGATCTACGTGGAAAGTACTTTTGGGGCCCTAACTAAGGCACTGCCCAAGCGGCAGCGCTGGTAGTGCTCTGACGGCTGAGATATTCCTCTCGAAACTGGACCCCGCGACGGTATTCGCATGGATTCATGCAGTTTCGCGCCAGGATCCACGCTTTGCGCCATGAATTCATGCGAAATACGATCGGGGGGTCCAGTTTCGAGGGGAATATTTCAGCTGTTAGAGCACTACCTGAGCTGCCGGTTGGGCAGTGGTTTAGTTAGGGCCCCAAAATTACTATCCACTTGAGTCCCCATGTGTCCAGACTTGCCTGGACGCTGCCTTTAAATGGCCTTTTGTATTTTGGTAGGATTTATCAGTGGGCGAACTTACGTGCAAAATCTTTAGCAGCGCGAGTGTGCATTTTCTTCATTCATTTTTGAAAAAATGGACTTATGTCCCAGAGTTTAGGGTACAGCCTGTTTCCGATCCAAAATAAGTTGGAACTTTGGCTTGAAATGATGCGCTCGCAAAGCTAGGAGTTTGCGATGCATGTGCCTGCGCAAATCCCTCAACTCCGGCCACAAAACACAGGTTTTATCTTACTTACAAGGAAGGCTACTTGGCCGAAGTAGCACTTTCATTTGCAGTGCATACTATCTTATAGAGCTTAGGATGCTGATCACAAATCTATTTCCGCTATCTCCAAAACACTTCTGGGAGGGCGGTTTGGATGTGTCCAAGCAAAAATTTGAACGCGCTGCTGCAATAGAGTCAATTAAAAGAGTAGTCTGTGAGCTTGAATGGGGTCATGATTATGGTCAGGGCGCCTTTTGCAGTGGTATAAGCTCCTGCAAGACGAAGGCGGTCGGTTCGATGAGCGACGTGGCTGTGACGCGGCTGTGACGCGGCTGTGACGCAGCCATGTCGCAGCCGCGTTGCACACCGAACCGACCGCCTTCGTCTTGCAGGAGCTTGTACAATAAACTCATTCTAGTCATCATTCCTTTTAAGCGCCGACAAAATCTCAACCTTTAGTTTCACCTTAGCCAAATTCCTTGGATTTTTGTCTCAAAAATCCAGAAAGGTATTCGCGCGAAGCTCCGGGGGCGTGCTGGATCTCATCCAGGAATCCTAAAAATCGGAGAAACGAGAGCATCGCCGTAACCAAGTTCGCGTCGTTCCTGTATTTATAAAAGTTTTAATCTATACAGCCTACGGGCTGCCCTTATCTATCACAAAGCCCATACCAGTGGTCTTAAACTGGTCTCAAACAACTTGTAACGACGAAGGTAAGCTATGTTTTAAGAAAAAGTTTATCACTCTTCACAGATCTTTTTCTCCAAGTAATGAGTCGCTTAATAGAGTTAGTCCAGATGTTCTATGCCTTGTAGGCTCTGACGCAGGCAACTAGCCCGAATCGTCAGCCGAATAAATTATTCAACAATTCTGACGTAGACTACAGCACCTGCGCAAAGCGTCGAAAGGATTAAAAGAAATGAGGAGGGAACAGAGATTTTTCGTCACGATCATCTGTAGCAGGGTGTGACGCAATTATAGTGGTGAGGAGTGCATCGTGCACCCTTGGCCTAGTCCGGACTGGAACAGACGGTATATCGCTTTGCAAATGGACATACAGCCCGTGTCAACCTTGTGTTCCTTTTCCACCAGTCAGATCGCAACCGCAGAGCATCGCGTCGCGTTCGCGCACGTATAGCTGCCATTAAAATGTCGCCTCATCGATCGGGGTCGCCGCGCTAGGCCATACGGTGCGGACGCGTAGCTGCTACGGAAGGTGGAGCACATGGTTGACATCGATTGTACAGTTGAGAGATTTCCCGCTCAAACAGTGTGCTTGCTCAGGAGGTGAAA